ATTACTTTAAAAACTGCACTGAAAGACAATGGGACGATAGTGGGAGGTTTCATGTCGTAGTGCTTGTTTGCGGAAAGGAGAACAATGGCGGATTTCCACAGCGGGTGAAGAACTCCTTGTGACCAAAGAGAATTGTAAAGGCGTAAAAAGACTGCAAGGGCTGACTGATGTAAATGTTGTAGCATACGAATATGAATGTCGTCGGGCCCAGCTGCCGATGATCGACAAGCTGAGAGTGTTCCTCCAGTTCTTGAAGTGTAAAAGGCACATTATACTGTTCTTCTCTGAGAGAAGAAAAGTCCAAGGGTGCTAACTCTCTGGCAGATTTTGAGGAAAGAAATGAGGGCACAGATGGAGTCCCTGAAAATACGGACCAGATGATTGCCAATTTCATTGGCAACATCTAGTGGGTTTGCTATATCAACACCGGCAACCCGCAGAACAGGAGCCGGGTCAGGAGAATATTTACCACTCAGTTTTCGTACTTTTTTCCAGACTGCACCATAGAGGAAGCAGAGGTGATGGTGGAGACATAATCTCGCCAGCAAGTGCGTTTAGCGTCACGGATGACACGGTGAGCGATTGCACGCTTCTGTTTAAAATCAAAGGTCTCCTGTGGTTCTATTGTCCCGGGTACCTGCCCCATGCAGCGGCGTTCAAACATACGCATGAGCACAAGCAGGAGACCACCAAGGCACGCATTTCTGAGAATGCCTGCCCGAATTTTGGGGGTATAGAATGAGAAGCTGCGGTAAAAAACGGAGGACGAGAAGAGGTGTAAAAGCTCATCGATGGAGCACGAAGAAGGAACCTCTTTAAAAACAGTTAGGTGTGAGTAAAGGTTCCAATTTGCCCGATTAAATTGCCAGCATGGGGTGCGAAGAGGTGGGAATATGAAGGGGAAGGTAAGAATGATTGGGAATTGATCACTGTCATGTAAGTCCAGGAGAACAGACCAAGTGAAGTCTAAATGCGGCGGAGGAAGAGCAGACTGAGAGAACGATGCAAGAGAGAGTATGAGCCCAAAGGGAAATCAAAATGGGTGGGGAGTACCAGTATTTAAAACATGGAGGGGGTGGGGTGGCAAGAAAAGCCTTAACTGAATTCCACGGGAATCACAGTGAGACCCCCCAGAGGAAATGGTGGGCATTAAAATCACCAAGTAGCAGAACGGTGGCTGTAATGACGAAACAAGGAAGGCAATACGGGAATAGATAATGCCCGAGAAGGAGAGAGATATAAAGAACAGAGCGTATACCACCTATGAAGTGGATACGGGTGCTTGTGTAATGCAGCAAGTAATGAACAAATAGCTGATGGTACGGAATATCAGTGCGTAGAAGAAGGCACTTTCCCATTAAAGGTCCCATCAGGAAAAGGATCTGAAGAATACAATAAATTATAGCCTGAGATGGGAGAAACAAGAGCAGAGTGTAATTTTGGTCCTGTAAGCAAACACCAACAGGGGCAAACTGGAGATTTACATCTAAAGCTCTCCCGATTAACCCCTGAGGCCGCATATAATTCCACTGTAAATAGGCCATGATTGGCAATGATAAAGATACTTGAAATCCGCAGAAAGGGGTTTTCCAAAGGACTAGAGGGTTAGAAAAGTCCACATGCGGAGGCAGTGGAAAACGTTCAAGCAGCGAAGGAACGGTGCGCTGTGAAGAAAGGGAGTTGCGCAGTGGAGCAGAGGAGAGAGAAAGAGGGGAAGGTGGATTCAGTGCCCATTGATTTTTTGGTCTCTGCAATATATTCAGAGATTGCTTCAAGTGTTTCGGATTCAGAGACGTCGTATGGGAACAATATTGGAAATGGTGGGGGGAGGATGAGTAAAGATAGGAACTGTTTTGGGGACTGTACCAAGGTAGGGGGGGCGAAAGGGTGGAGGGAACGGGAGAAGCATGGCAGGGGACAGAAGAGACAGGAACCGGGGAGGTGGCAGAAGAGGAAGAACTTGGGAGGAACAGGGGAGGAAGTATAGTACGAGGAGGAGGGTGAACCTCTACACTTGTAACTGAGCCAGTGAGAGGGGAGAACCAGGGACAGAGACAGGAGGTAAAATGAGGAGGTGGAAGATGGGTAGGAGGTGTTAACGGACCTTTTTTTGACTTTTGAGAAGTAGAGGGACGATTGGGAGGAGGTGTTGTACGAGGTCTCGTCGATACTGAGGCTTGTGAGAGAGAACACGAAGAAGCGAGATCAGACTGAGGCGTTGAAGTAGGGACGTCTGAGCCGAGGACAGCAAAAGGATTAGATACAGGAGTGACTATGGGAGAGGTAACCACAGAGGTGGGTGTAGAAAAATGGGATCCCAGAAGGGGGGGGCCCTTTTGAAACATGGGAATAAGAAACACGTGGGAGTCCTCCTTGGAGGCGGAGATGAGAGACTGCCATGGCATAAAGGAGACCTTCTGTCTCTTTGAGGTAACAGATTTCCCGCTCGTTTATATAGACTTGACAACGGCGAGAGTACGAAGGGTGAGCCTCATGACAGTTAAGACAAGAGGGAGATCGATTGCAAACGTATTAGAATGGTCATTGGCACCACAGACGGGGCATTCGGCGATAGATCTGCAATATTCGCTGGATGGCCAAATCGCCAGCATTTCTACCCTGTTGTGGTGTAGGGGGGGGGATCACCTTTCGAACTTGAAACCGATGTCCTGCTATATAAACTGAGGTGGGAGTTCTCGGCTGTCAAAAATTAAAAGAGCCACATTGCTAGGGTATCGTCTCCGCCCGCGGCAGGAAGAACGTAAGTGGTCTACCTTGAGGATTGGGAGATCTTGGAGTTCCCGCTGTTCAAAAATGTCATGCCCCATGTCTGGAAATTTTGTTGAACTATGGTATGGGGCAGAATGACGGTACTACTACAAGAAATTGGGGAAAGATGTTTTTCAAGAGTGACAGGAACAGTATCGATATGGGAAGACGAGAGAGCTCATGAGCCTGGGTAGCATTCTGTACAGTAATGATGCACGTACCGCTCTTAAGAGCATGGAAAAGAAATATCTTTACCAACATGGCGTAGGAGTGCCTTGCCAATACTGTGGTCAGAAGATAGGCAGTAGGGAAGTCGGTCGTAAAGTGAAGAATTTAGTCCATTGTTTAGTCTGAAACTGACGTGGAAAGGTAGTGAAGGACGTGTCAATCGTTTTCTGAAAAAAACGAGAAAGGGGGAGAAGTATCATCAGCAGGTAATTGTCGTTGGCGTTTAGGCGTGGGACCAGAGTTGGTCCGACGTGGAACGGGTCAGCGATTTGAAAATTGCCGCACCATAGAGGGAGAGGCCGGGAAACAAGTCAGAGGAGAGCGAAGGTCTGATAAATCGAAGGATCAGTCGAGGCCTCAGTACCTGAAGCGGGTGAGAAAACAGCACCGGCAATAGGTACAGAGGCATGAGGAGTGTCTGAAGAGTGGTCCAAAGACGAGGCGGGGTCAGAACGGGGGGGCGGTATCAAGAAGGGGCCCGGGGGTAGTAGGTTCATGGACTAGGGCTGCCATGGTTTTGGTACTTCTTTTTTTGTTTTTAAGAAAAAAAAGAAAGAAAAGAAAATAAAAATAAAAAAAAGAATAAAAAAAGGGGGGACCGGGCAGGGATAGTTCCTAGGAGGAATGAAAGGGCCAGAAATCTCCCTCCACGCCCAAGAGGACCTCAGCACCGCAAGTAGCGCAGATGCAGCATGGAACCCGTGCCATACCCTACCCATCATGCTAGTAAACTAACAATCCGGGATAGCAACCTCACATCTGCCGAGCTACCTCGATGGACAAAAGGAGGGCGGGCCGCGATATCCGCCAATAAAACATACCTCCTTCGGCCACCACCCCCGGAATCCGAAAGGTGGCTTCTGGAGATACACCCGTCGCCTGAAAGACACCCAAAGCTACTCCAGGATACCGGAGAGGGATCGGGACATCCACAGGCTATCCAGATTCCACGGCAAACTACGCCACCGCCAAGAACCTCAACGGAATGGGATAGACCCCGGTATCCTTTCCCCTACCTAGGAACTAGCGTGCCTGTGGGAGAAATCCCAAATGCCAGAAAGAGGAAGGTCAAAAGGGAGGGGTGGGGAGGAGGAGGAGGAAAGGAAAAAGGGGAGGATGGGGAGGATGGGATAGGGGAGGGGAGATTGGGGGGTAATTAGGTTCGGTCTGAGGAAGAAGACCGACAGGTCTAATTCTTCAGACTAAGAGCCTCTTCACCATGCCAAGGAGAACCCCCCTTGAAGAGGAATTTTGTGCTCAATATTACCTACTTTCTCTCTCTCTCTCTCTCTCTCTCTCTCTCTCTCTCTCTCTCTCTCTCTCTTCTCTCTCTTCATCTTTGTAATTTGTGATAAGGTGTAAGACCTCGCCTGTACCATCCATTATATCATTATATGTACCATATTATTAACACGTATACAAGAA